CCATGTGAAGCGAACCAAAGCCGGAGAGCGGATCCTAGCTCCGCGACTTGAGTACCAGGTCCTCCCCACCGGCGCATCTGCATGTGAAATCGCCATTTCACCCCTCCACACTCCCTAATTGTTGGAAAAATTATTTGTGAAATTGCCTTCCACCAGGAGTGTTTTCCACGGCAATTTTCACACCATTTTCTATGCATGGAGGTCCCACAGAGCTGACACACTTACCTCATTTTAAATTACACGTATGCAGTATATATGTGAACAATAAAAGTAAATAAATTACGATTAGCCTTAAGCGATTACTATAACCAAGAAGGTCTGTCTTGCAATATTCTTGATTTAATTCTGCACAATTCATATTAATGTCGACCATCAGTTATGATTATGTCACCCTCCATTTAAAACATTAAGCTGTAATTCATAGTTAAAAGTGATGGTATTTCTCTTTTGCTTTCGGCATATGCAATTTTACACATTTCAGCTAAAATTGTGACATTTGCCTCGACTTCATATTTCACTTCTCAAGGGTGGTACATGAGATTTTAGCAACACGAGGATGCTGTGTTTTTTTAACAATTTAAACCTGGTTATTGTCAGTTATTAGCCTAAACAAGCTACCTTAAAAAGTAAACAGTGGCTAATCTTAAATAGATTCCTGAAACATTGACACAGAGATTGTCATTTTTCGTCTTTACACCTGCCACCCTTTGATAAGATTTATGGAACAATTTTTTTTTCTAGTAATATTTGTTCGTATTAAGTATCTTCCACACATATTTTTAACAATCCTTTCCACGCCAAGTTGAAAAAAGAAGGTAAACGGTGCCTTTGTTGCAAGCATACGGAAATATAGACCATTTAAATAAGGGTTTGGGCTTTTTAAATACTTCCATTTTCCTTTGGTCACGGTGACAAACTCAAGTGTTTGATCTTAGCTCCGCAACCAAGAGGAATCTCAATCCCGGTTTAGAGGCTTGTGAAAAACTGATTGTAAAACACATTTATTTGAAATGATGAGGGCTCTTTTTAAATTGCAGCCTCTGGAGTCTGTCTGCTAGCTTTTACCTGTTGTGAGTAAACCTCTTCAGCGCCTCTCTTCTGTGCAAACGCCGGCCTGTTCCCGGGCACGTTTCAAATCAAGTGTTTATTATAACGTACCGTAAAGTTTATTTATGTTATTGGATAATGAAATGAGATTACATGCCGTCGGATGACATGCACGGCAGCATATTAACGCATTTGAATAGGATAAATGACACTAGGGTTTTTAAATGTCAGTTTTGTGGGTTTTTTTCCCTATTTGTATTTTCGATTCATAATATCCCTTAACTCATCGATGAACATGTGGCTATTAACCGGCCTCACCACCGTTATTCAATATATTAATGTTATTTTTATTATATGGAGAAATATCCATATTTACTATTCAGCAATTATTTACTGTTCAGTTTATGGATGAGTTCAATTTTCAGTTGAATCCCTAAAAGGACTTGCTTTAAGGCAGTAGTCAATCGTCTTTAAAAAACAAAATATCTCAACTGTCCGTTTAATTGACTCACAATGATTATGGATTAAGAGATTAAGACATTTTCTAAAAATCATTACAGATGAACAGTTATTGGATACTTGTTATGGTAATCCTGCAATTCAAAATGGCTAAAAACTCAGGGCTAATGTACAAAAAAAAAACAACCAGAAATACCGCTCCACTTTCCTGCTCAACAGCAGGAGAAAGCGCCATCCTTTAATCCAGTCCTGCGTTTTGTGTGTCTTTCTTGCTGGTTTTAAAATTCTGTTTCGCGCTGTATTCAGGCCTACCCCCAATTTCGGGAAATTTCAACAACAAAATAATAATAAATAAAACCTTATTGCCGAACCTCAATAACACGCCTTTGTGTTAAATGTGACACGCTTTCTAGTTCTTTCTAAGTGGGTTAAGGGATTTTAGAATCACATGCCAGCGCTCTTTTCCTCCCTCTCTCAAAGTGCAGAGCAGGCGGTGGCATCGCGAGTTCGAGCCATTAACCGCTGCCAGCGAGAAGGAACTGCCGGTTTGCAGTTAGTTCAGACAGGCCTGTCTGTTCAGTTTACGCGTTCGCGCAGAGAAATCTCTCACATTCCGTTGAGGTGTTTTACTAGGCTCTGGAACAATTGCTTCACGGTTACATTTTCTGCTGGGTATGGTTATACAGTATTCACCAAAGCAGTATTCGTTGTTGTTTTTTTTTTTCTCTGCGTGTCTCTGTGCGTATGTGGAAGATGTGTGTTGGACGGAGAGCACGGAGTTAGAAACGAAGCCTAGTAAGAACGTCTGAGCTGGTGATTGAGAGAGGGAGGGAGTTAATGATGTCACGGATAAAACACGACGCGCTTGTGCTGTGTAGAAGTGGGTTAGATTTTGAGACGTGGAGGTTATGGAGTCGATCAACACCTGGGATTGTAGGAAAGTCAGGGTAAAATCTTTCATTTCCGAGTCATGATTTACTGCCTGACCGCATCTTAAGTTGACTAAACGCCAGGTTTCATTGATTACAGCACGGATGCTTTGCTGTTCTCCTTGAGGTGGACGACAGCCTTCAGACTTTCCTTAACACCTGTTCGTCTGCGCTAAGAAATGGTTTTCACTTGAGCAAAGTTTTTGTTACCTATAAAGTGCTGTTAAAAAACAAAATATCATCACCAAACGAAAAGAAAGCATCTATTTCAGGGACGTCGCAAGTTTGTAATTCCATGCACAGAATGATTTCTAATGCAAAAAAACAAAGTATTGATTGTGTAAGGGGGCTGTTTTGCAAGAATTCGTTTTTGATTAAGAGACGAGTACAGTTCTATTAGGTTTATAGGATTAGGAAATAACTAATGTGTGCGTCTCCAGTTGGGTGTGCTTCGCTTCTTATGAGATTCCCAGTGATCCTGGAGGGAAAAAAAGTCTTTTAACATACGAAGACAAAGGTTTAGTGTGGATAGGCGTCATAGCCTGCTGTGCAAGGGCTCTCCAAGCCTGGAATAAGGCACCTTCAGTGATAGAATTTCTCCCGGAGCAGAACTCGGAGAAGACCCGGGGTGACTGAGTCACTAAAAGGATTGGAAGAGAGAAACTAATAATAATGCTTTTTGCTTGAACACGTAAATGACTTCTTCAACTCGTTTGCAGACGTCCGGAGCACTATCCGTCAAGACTACAACATGGATAGTTCTTATAGCCTGCCCTGTAAAAAAGTACCAGTTTTTAATACATTGAAATGATAGATCAGTTATGAACAGCGATCAAACCCGAATAAATACCCATTTCTTTGTATTTACTTTCGCTTAAGGGATACTACACTACATAGTCAGTTTGCCCAAAACATCACCTGTCTTTCAACTCCTGAAAACATGCCAAGCACATTCTGTGTCTGTGAAAGATACAGGCAAATTGCCTGTCATAGATACTGAATTTATGTATTTAAAAAAGTCAGTTATTCTAATTGCTGTTATTGCTATGTAGCAAGCTACTGCATTAGGTTATCGTCTATAAAAGTTTGATATCAATAAAAGGATTATTGAGATTTTAAGCCTTCAAAAGCGAAGCAATAGGACTAAGCATCAGCTGTACACATTTTCTTTGACATCTAAAGTGTTTATCGTACACCTACATATGAGATACATAACTAAACATTTCTTGGGCTTGTGTACTCGATTGTCGTTCAAGCTTTTTAGATATTTTCCCCATTGTTACCAGAACATTTACTGATAATTTCGCCGGTTAATAAAATCGCACCAAAACCTTAAGTATTTTTGATTTTCTGTACTCTGCAAATTAATTCGTATGAGAGATTGACCATAGATTTGCGGTAGCTTTAGTGATTCAGTTTTTTGTTTTTAATATCGGAAACCAATATCTTTCCAAACACGTGCACACTTCTGTATAACACTAAGTCCCTGCATATCTAATGTCTTTGATGATATAAAAAAGTTTGATTTTTAGATTTTCAACCAGGTATAATTTAAGCCTACCTTGTCCGCCCCAATTATCTTGTGGACTGTTTTAGAGACTTTTTGATAATCAACCTAAACTTTTGTTTCTGTATGTTGTAACAGCATTGCTCAAGACCCTCAAGACAGTCAAGTGATAACAAGATAAAACCTTTGTTACTTAGTTTTGTCAAATGAACTGCACACTTGGAATCTTTTTTTTTTTTAGATTACAGCTGGTTTGAAAGCAGCAAAAATATTTCTGGAGATATTGGAAAATATATTTAAGTTAGCAGAAATGTTAATGACATTTTCATTACAGTTATAATTACAACATTTATAGTAATAATACACTACTAATATTGTCATAATAATGTACACATTGTAATAACGTATAGTGCAGTAATATTAGTTACTTGAAAATAAAAGGGTATTTGCGCAAATTGGCCTCAAATCCTATTCTTGCTGACCTACCTTAACACTAGGAAGTCCATCATTACCTAATTGTAGGGTGCCTGAAACGACTGATAAAAAAACTTTTAATAGAATGTTTTTAAAAATGTGTGGGATTGAGTGCTTAGAAAGGTTTGGAGGAATACCTGCCAAATCAATTTTAGGTACGTGTCTAAACTTGTCTTAGATACCGTTTTAATTTAAGTGAAACCAATTTCCTGTCGGTCCAGGTAACTCCACCAAAAATCAAGAAATGATTCGGAATATATAGTTATTTATCGTAAATGTTTCGCATGAATATATTTCTAGTATACAATCATGAGATATGCGTTGAGGGGGTGAATTTTAAAACTAACTGGTATTCATGGATGAACCCGAAGAGACAGTGGTGGGTTATAAAAAAGTTCTTTTTTTTTTTCCTTGTGAGTTTTCTGTTCAGAACGAGGCAGCGATGCAATGAATTAAAATGAGCTAAGAGTGTGTTTGCGCCGCGCACCGTTCCCTCTGATTGGTCAGCAGGCTCAGAGCGTAACCCCTTCTCTTCCTCATGAATAAAAGAAAGACCTCCGAGCCTATCGGCGTGCGCGGCTCTCTCCTCCTAAACCGTGCGCCAAAGTTGGCCACTTCAACTACTCCCAACCTCTAAGCAGACTTTTCCGTCAAAAACTACCAGACCTTTTAGTAAAACACAGCACAGAATTCAATAACCTTTGCCCACTTGTGAGTGTAAGATCCATTGCCCCCACACAAACTCACATTTACTCCACCTTGCGATCAGTGTTGTTGTTATCTATCCATGATTCTTGTCATTCAACTTCAGAACGACATTTTTTTTCTCTTTTGGGGGGTTTAGCGTCCCAAGTCGTCTGGCTGGACCTATTTTTTTATTCCCTTTTTTTCTTTTTTTGTTTTTTTTAAAAAAAAAAAACAGAAGACGGCGCTAAGTAATTTTCACGTTATTTTTGTTCGCGGCAAAGCAAATAGTCATCCTGTCTGGACTTGTTTGCGCCATTAAGAACTTGGCTTGATCTGTGACTGCTCTTCTGTTGACAGTAGAGAATGGCTACATTACCAGGAACAGTACCTCGAATGATGAGACCAGCGCCAGGCCAGAACTATCCTCGCACTGGATTTCCCTTAGAAGGTACGTGTTAACTGTTCTCTTTAAACATGTCAAGACATCCTAGTGCGGTAAAAGTAAAACGCAAAGAAAACCGCTGTTCGCCGTGCGTGATTTCTTGGTTGCAGTTAGTCTGCAGATCTGCAAAATAGTTATCTGCTGTTGGTTGCTGTTAAATAACAAGCAGATTTTTATACTGCAGATAACGTCGTTTATTTTTCATATGTTTCAGATGATTTTTGGTGAAATGTTAAACCAGATGAACGTGTTTTTTGTATGAGTGCGTGATGGAGGCATGAGTTCAAAGAGTCGAGCAGGAGCAAAAAAAAATAATTCTAGCAATTAGATGTTTATAAATGGCATTGCAAACATACTTCTGTATATTTAAGTAATTTATTTTCTTCAAACTGAAATGACATTGTGTTAGGCTTTAATGGTAACGTAAAATTAAATTGCACATGAATTTGATTAAAAATATTGTAAACGTAAAACGCATCGATTATTACAAGCATCTTTCGTAACATGCAAACCGAGGAAACATGCATTTTACTTTTTGCTTCCAAGGCACACGTTTTGAATAGAAAATGAGTCCTTTGGAGTTCAACCATTAATCGACGCTTCTATTAGAATTTTTGCTTTTCCTATACTTTTGTGGAGGATGAAAAAACGCGGTATAAAATTTCCAAGCACATACACCTGCAAAAAAAACCCGAGTCTTTTATTTGCATTTATTATTCGCTTATTCTATGGGAGTCAGTCCCAGGCAGAGACGCTTCGTGCTCAAGTGGTTCAGCCAAAACAGCAAAAAACACGAAGCTTGCAAGTTACACAAGCTTGGAGGATTTATTGGAGTGTCCTAGTGTAGCAAATGAAAGTAAAATACATAGCAAAGCGATGGCTCAAAGGATTACATCAATATTTGTACAACATGACTAGGAATAATGAAGGCGGAAAGTGCTACAATCTTCAGTACCTCTTGAATGCAAAATTGGCCACTTAAGTACTATCTCTCGCTAATGATACATCCTGCAAAGAGCTCGCCAAGTTGACTGTGAATTAGTGCTGCATGATTCTTATTTAAAAATACGGCTGTTATTCTGTGGTCATCTCGATGGATTCGGGCAGATTGCATTTGGAAATGACATTCACTTTTACGTGAATGCGAAATTAAAATTGTACTCCCGTACAGTTTACGTCTGAAAAAAAAATGGTGTGCAACTAAATATTTAATTAAAAAAAACATGGATGCATAGATGTAATCTCATAGTACATAAAACACAAGACCGCATGAATCATACCCATAATAATAATAATAAGGGCCCGACATAAAGTTTTCAAGGTACAAAAACAGGACCTTACCTTAGGTGTAAAACTAAGGCTCCCTTTTTTGTGATTTTGCGTATTGAAATGGAAATATACATTTTATTACCAGTTCCAAGCATGTATACTGATTGATCATTGTTGATGTGACAGATACAAATGTTTTTAAACAGGTGTGAACTAGTGAAGAGGGTGTTTTGTACTTGTACTTGTAAGAGACGTGGGCGCCTTCACAGTTATAGATTGTCGTGTTGTTGTTGTTTTTTATCTTGTTTTAAAGACAAGGGGAAATGCATGACAATGTATCATACAGCTTTCGAGTCCCGCGTTGAATGTAGGCGATCGAACGTGTCGTCATGAGCGACCCTGTCTCTTGTTTTTCTCACGGCACAGTGTCAACACCTCTGGGTCAGGGCCGGGTGAACCAGCTCGGCGGTGTGTTCATTAACGGCAGGCCGCTGCCGAATCACATCCGACACAAGATAGTCGAGATGGCACATCACGGTATAAGACCCTGCGTGATCTCACGGCAGCTCCGAGTTTCCCACGGCTGTGTATCCAAAATCCTTTGCCGGTACCAGGAGACGGGTTCTATTCGCCCCGGGGCTATCGGAGGAAGCAAACCCAGGGTGAGTGCAAGAAAAGTTTGGACTGGGTGGAATCTGAATGAGGAAACCACAGGAATAAATGTTCCACTGTGCTACTGTGAATTTAGGCCTGGTAAACCTGTTGTTTTCGGCAATACATTAAAGCAAGGAAACATGAGGATCCTTCGGAACGGACTTGTTATTGCGCTTATTTTGTTCAGTTACCAGGTGAAGTTTAATGAGAATAACCCCTTCGAAAGTTTGACGACGGTGTTGCTTTGGCCTCTGAAATACATGTATTTACACAGAACTGAACTAGTGAATATGTTCGCAGGGCAGCAAGCGTTTTATCTTTGCACGGGCAAATGTCCCTTATGTTGGAAGTTTACAGTCATCGCCACAACGTATAGAAACCCGAAGTCAAGAGTAGGAAAAGTGCAGGTCTCGAATTATGATTCCAATGAAATCTTTGAATCAGAGAAGAACTCCCCACGTAAAAGAAGCACGTGTCTCGTAAACACATATTTTGAGACTCTGAGACATGTACATCACCTGGGTGCAAAGAAAAAAAAAACCCACAGAGACTAATGTGTTCACGATTTTTAACCCCCCGTGCGCTTTTTGCCTGGTGATATTCTATACTTGCATATACAGTATGCATAGCCTACATTCTCCATTTAATCCTTCAGCGTTTTGTGTTCAAGGAGGGAGGGCAATCCAGCATTCACTCAATTTAAGTTAAAAGTAGTTTTCGCCCTTCTGTCTTTCTCCCTTTTTTTGTTCTGCGGACATTCATCCCAAAAGCAGGTAGCAACGCCTGACGTGGAGAAAAGGATAGAAGAATACAAGCGGGAGAACCCGGGCATGTTCAGTTGGGAGATCCGGGACAAGCTGCTGAAGGACGGGGTGTGTGACAGAAGCACAGTTCCTTCAGGTGAGGCCCCATCTGGTAAGCAACCTTTCCTTTTCTACCACGTCCGTTTGAGAGGCCGCGGGTTTTCATGCGAACGCCCGGGCTTGTAGCGGCGGAAGAAGCTTCCAATCGACATCCCGGCGTGTCTCTGTGTTTCTGGAGGAGGGGGAAAAAAAAACACGCAGCTGCAAGAAGTTAAATGTTTAGTACAGTTCTGGGTTTCTTTAGTTTCAGATTTCCTAATACTTGTGCTGAGAAGTCTACTTGACCCCTCCCCCACAGCTCATACACACACACACCGAAGTTTGTCTCTACTTTTTAATGCCTTTCACAATCCAAGTAATAATAATAATAATAATAATAATAATAATAATAATAATAATAATAATAATAATAATAATAATGTGTCTAGTTATTTGCTTTGCTAATCGTGGATTAAACGTAACGATTCGATTGTCTCCTTGTGTCGATCAGTCAGCTCCATTAGCCGGGTTCTGAGAGCAAGATTCGGGAAGAAAGATGATGAAGACGATTGTGATAAAAAGGATGATGATGGGGAAAAAAAGACGAAGCACAGCATCGACGGGATACTGGGCGACAAAGGTAAAGCGATGGGCACTTCCTGCTTCCCGGGCTGCTCTCCCAACATCTGGGTTTTACAAGTGGCTGAAACATTCAGACTGCCGTTTATGGAGTTTGGGTTTGACAGAGGCCGGTTCGTTTAATCCGAGGCGAGGCTGGTCGGCGTTTGCGTGGTTTTGATTGCAGTGTTGTAGGTACGCTGAAACCTGTTACTCCAACTTTTTTTTTTTTAACCGACGGAACAGCGGTGAATTTCACATTCTTTAGTTCGAGGGCGAACATCATGCTGTTTGTTAACCGTGCAGTAGGCTTGGAAGCGGGCAGGCCGCTTTAACTTGGCCTTGTATGTCAAGTGTCTCCTTAAAAATGTGAGTGATTATTTCGTGCTGTTTTTCCATCTAGGCGCTACTTGCTCAATTATTTATATGAGCCCAGACGGAAAGTATTCGGGACTAGTAGATTAATTTGTACAACCGACGCCTCTCGCTCTTTAAACGATCCCTTGAAACAGTGGGTGACAGTTGACCGATTCGACAATCAATATCAATTAGAACGAATTGAATGTGACCTGTTAGAAGAATCGAGTCGAACATCAGAAATGATGTCTTAAATAGAGGCGCATACTATCTCACAGGCCGTCTTTCCTCTCGGGGACGATTTTTAAAAATGTTTTGGATTATGCGCCTAAATAAGCACGAGGATTTAAAAAGAGAATGGACATTGTTGCATTGATAGCATTGCAAACGGTATTTTTTTTTACTAATAAACGCTCTGTGTTTGGGGAGTCATCGCCAAGAAGTTCTATAAATTTAGTGTAGTAATAATGTGTAGAAACGGAGGTCTTTAATTCCCAATCTCAGTAAATGTGTAGACATTATTTTTATTTCGCTTCTATGGCTTCTGTACCTACACGACTTGAATAAATTATAAAAATCCAACATTGCGTTTTGCCTATACGACAACGTTTGTCTGAATTCTTTTTTTTTTAATTTTATATAGGCCCGTGTCTCCTTATTTTATTAATACTGATGTAGCGCTATCGTTGTGCATATTGTTTCAATGTGACTGTTTTAAGCGAAGTAATCATCTGATTTTATATCTTATACACCTTCATATGCCTTGTCGTAATTATCATTGTCTTCAGCTCCGAGTGCTTAACATTTGGCACTAAACGGTTGTGCTGTTTGGTTTTGTTTCATTTCATTGGTGACTTGTTTATAGGAAAGACCTCGGTATCCAGCCTTTATTCAAATAGACCCTATTTTCTAAAAGAGACAAAAGTTACCAAATAAGATGATCAAACAGTTGTGTATAGGGTTTTAAATAAAAGTACACAAAAAGCTTTTTTTTCTTCCTCTTTAAAGAACCAGCCTTTCTCCAAACTTGAAGATGAACTTCAGTCGCAGTAAAGCTTCTAGTCTATTGAATCTTTTTAAAGCAAAGATTCCGAGGTACAAAGGCAAAACCTAAAAAAGCAGAGCAGCGAAAAGAGGCATGGGTCCATCCATTCTCATTCAAAAACCCGCAAAGAGAAGAAAAAACTCGGGACAAAAGGCCAAGGAGCGAAATAAAAGGAGATGAATTATTCAATACACCCCGCTGTTAGATAGTTTTGTAATATTATAGAATCGTCTGTTGGAAAAGAATAAGTAATGGAGAGTGCAAAATGTTTCATTCTTGTTTGGAAATGGCCAGTTGCTCATTTTGAAATCGGCGCTATTGTGTGCACGAACTGTGCACTTTTGTGTGTATGTGTGCAATCAATTTTAAAACACGCTTTACGATTAAGGTAGTGCTTGGAAAAAAAAACATGCTGAAAATAAAAATACATTTCTGAATACTCGAGGTGTATTTGCAGCAATTGAACAGAAGAGTTTCGGTTAACTATTGCCTCGTTTGACTCAGGGATCCTCAATTACGTTTTTCTGCGCAGTTTTGTTCTGGCGCACATGACCAGTATCGATTTGTTTTGCCACGAACAGAACTGACCATTTCAGCCACGTTATTTACCATTTTATCGTGAAGGTATTTATTTTTCTGGATGTTTTAGTTTGATTTGACATTGCAGCGAATTCCGACGTTTATGCTTTTTAAAGCACTCCCGCGTCACTCACTCTCCAGTAATGCGATCTACATAGACTGGACTGGCGGCTGAGCGTTCAGTCACCTGACACTTTTTGGAGTCATTATCTCTAAACTCTAAACAAAGGATGTGTATTTTATATACATATAGGTTGTATTTATTCACATTTAAATCGTGAAGTATCTCGTTAACATTTATGCGTTGTCCCTCACCAGCGGATTCAGACAGAAAGCGCATTTTTTACCTTGCAATCACATATTGATGCTCTTTTCGCGATGCTCGTTAGACAAAACGTGAATTAGTCTTTGCTTTTGTGTACACGTGTTAACTTATTTATTTAATTGGGCCGTACTTTGCTGCATAACCGTCAGACAAACTTCCGGACTAATTTCTGCCTACATATTTGGCATTTTATGGCGGTATGTTAAAACCTGGATACTAAATTCACTCTTTCTTAATTCTTAAAAAGATTCGTCTTTGCGCCTGTTTCATTCTATCATCCGGCTGGCATTTAATAATGTTAAGACTTATTAGAGTTAGTAATGAAAACGGTGTCTGTTGAATGGGCGGTTGTGTTGGAGAGGGGTGTAATAGCTCGCAGGCATGGTAAGAAATGTATTTATCCCCAATCAGCCCTCACTCTCTGAGTTTCAAGCACAAACGTTATGTTGAAGGGTTTTAAGGCAGATTAAATTGAGCCTTTTATTTCTTTTCACTTTCATCTCTAAACGGCTCACTCTGGCTAGCCCTGGGCACAAATTCATGAGATTTTAGGTTTCTTTTATAGTTGTTAAGATTTTTTTTTATTTTTGGGTTGCATTAGAAACTCTGACATGCTAACTAGAATCTGCACTGATGGAAAAAAAAAAACAGCAATCACTTTAAGGTTAAAATATAATTCACAGAATACCAGAACTTGTATGTAAAGGATGCAGAATTCCAGGGGGAGTTAAATTTGAACTCGCCAGGAATAATCGAAGCTTTCCATTGAGACTTTATTTAGGAAGCCCGTCTTTAAATAAATGACCAAATATGAAAAGCTTTGTATAAACCAAAAATAGAAACCGGAACTGTTTTTTTTCGTCCGGTTAGAATGGCTTTTAATGTCCTATAGGGTTTAATGATTGAAAAGAAGACTCGTAAATAAATACATTAGTAAACAACATTTTCAAGTTTTCCATGTCCTGGTTTGTGGGCGTCGGTAAAAACGATGTGTACCTGCCGTGTTTGGTAATAAACGTGTTCTTTATGAGTATGTTGCGCGGTGAGAAATGGCGATTGTTTAAAAGAATTCTTGTGTTTGAAAATGAGATTAAGTACTTGGGTTTGGGAGGGGAAGGGACAGTAATATAGTTTCAATATTGATATTCAATATAACTTGAGTGATTTAATTTTTCCAGGATAAATATGTTATATAGTAAATATCTTCTTTCCGGTCTGGGGTTACACGATGGTCAATTTTGTTAAAAGTCACAAATAGTTGATATGGGTGGAATATTGATTAACAAATTAATTAGATGGAAAGCGGCAGATCTATAAATGATGACTGCAAACTAAATGGAGACAAAACGCTAATCTTGTGGCATCCTGAGTATAAACAAGCAATGATGTTGGCCGAAATTGCACCAGCTATATATTTTCACTGCAGCAATCGAAATGGGATAAATTGGTGGTATTGTGTGTTGAAACTTGCCAAATCTAATTAGTATCTTCGATTGAATGAGGTGAAAAGAAAAGCTTGCAATTACAGGGAAAAAAAACCCACTTTTGGCTTCACACCTGGAGGTGGTATTGTTTGTGAAGAGAGGGGGAGACGAAAAAAAAGAGGGGGTATCAGTCAATTTATCGGGAGCAATCTGCATTGATTAAACCAACAAGCTGCCTTCTGTAGAGAAGAGAGGGAGGCGATGGACACTTCAGCAAATCGGCGGATTACCTAAGGTTCTGAGTCTAATCAAACAGAGGCCAGGCAGGATTTGCGAGTGTTGTGAGTAGGATCAGAGGAAATAATAGGGGCCAGTAGAAAGATAGTGGGGTGTCAGGCAATCCGGGGCTCGAGGCTTGGTTTCACTGTGCATATTCAATTAAAAACGAAGGTGCTGTTTCAGAACACAGAGAGATACTTGTCACAGAGAGACGAGGTAGGGGCAAATGAATCGCACCAATATAGTGAGATTACAATTACCGCAGGAAACAGGAGCTCTGGCGCACTGGTGAAACAGCAGTGACGTACTCAAACAAACGAGCTTGGGAAAAAAATATATATCATTTTAGGATTTTATGAGTTTCGTATAGAAAAGAAAATAATTTAAAAAAAAAGACTAGGGAGAAAAGCACCACTAAACAAACACTGGGTTCACGGGTAAAAAAAAAATGAAATGAAATTGATGTAAGTTAAATCCCTGCTTGTATAAAAAACCTTTTGACCGTACATCAGGTTATAGAAAGCTCTACAAATCGCTGAAAAGGTGTTTTAAAGAGATAGATGGAAACTGAGGGGGGCCTGTGTGTGGGGGGTGTGGAGGGTGGGATGTGCTGTTGGACCAAAACAAATATATTTAAAAAAAAATACGGATGGCAAAAATATTGTGAAATGTGATTTCAAATAAAAAAGTGCACATGTATAATTTTTTGTAGTGAAATGAATTTTATATTTAGGAGTCTAAAATAAGCCTCGTTGAAAGAAAAAGACAGGGGATGAGGCGAGAGACCACTTCAAACAAATCCATCTGGAATGGTGAGAGAGAGATTTAGTGAAAGTATGGGGAAGTTATTTAGCTATTAATAACATTTTTTCCTTAGGCATCGAGAGTCTCTCCATCTGCACTTTCTCGCAGCTATTTGGCTGGGTTGAAATTGAGGAAGACCCAAATGTTGGGGAGAGATAACACAATCATCACAGCCTCGGTCCTGGGCTGAGCATCACTGCATTAAACTC